CTGTTGCTGACGGCTGTTTGTCCCGCAGCTCCCCGGCAAAACAGGCCGAAACTCACTCAGCCAGTCCAACATCTACCAGCATCAACATTCTTCAAATGCCAACTGCTGCCATAGAGAAGACCCCACCCTGAGTCCTGAAGCTTATTTGTACCTTTAGGAGATTGTGTCCAATATGTCTGACATATCCCATACAAATCGAATCGTTTTTTAAAATGTTATACTTTTGAGTACATGCAGCAACAATTGCACAAAAGGTGTAGCAAGATTGTCTTCAAACAAAAAAATACAGTTATAGTTAAATATTGACAGCTCTACTCACCCTTGTAGCAGAGACCCTGATGTGTAGTTGAATAAGAGCGGACGACTGGATGAGTTTAATATTTATTTATGGAGAAACAGAATTGTCTCCACTGTCGAAACACTACTGCAAAACTTGCATGCCTTGAGTTTGATTTTAGGATTATGATAGGTTGCACTTCCAGTTTTGCCCCACCTCTTACTGCAGCTCTTTTGGTTAGGTTTTATCTTCCTCATGTTTAGACATTATTAACCCTTGTGTTGTGTTCGAAAGCTGTTACTGTTCATGGTGTTCGCGGGTCAATTTTGTTTTAATGTAAATATTAATGATAATATTGTAGCGTGTCCAAGTTAATAGTTATTTCAGTTATCAGATGTGCACAGTTTAGTACATTTGTAAAGTTATTTAGGCAATGTTGTTGGTGGGAGTTAGGGAGACCGCCCCTTCCAGGTGTGTGTGTGCGTTTTCCGGTGTGTGTGTGTAGGGAGTACGAGACGGTAGGAGTTGTGTTCGAGTGTGGGGAAAAGTCATAATGAGTGTTATACTATTGATTGGCTCTGTAAGGCGTGGCTGTGGCCGTCAATACCATAAAATAAAGAGAACGTTTTCGACATTGAAGGCTCATGATCTGTGATCTTGAATAGCGGTGAACGCTACAATATCAACAGGCTCGTGCTTGGCCCACTGGTATTGTTTGTTTATTTATTTTGAAAATTAACTAGCAACGCCGTGCTGTCATATAGCAACTGCTAAGCTACTGCAGCAAAAAGATCATGGCGCCGCCCATGCTCACAATCACATGTTTACAGATGTCTTTGATTCATAAGCCATTTTACCAGTAATCAATATAAAACCTGGCATGTAAATATACAAGTTACAGTTATTATATTACAGCAACATAAAAGGTTTAGCAAGATTGTCTTCAAACAAAAAAATACAGTTATAGTTAAATATTGACAGCTCTACTCACCCTTGTAGCAGAGACCCTGATGTGTAGTTGAGTAAGAGCTGACGACTGTATGAGTTTAATATTTATTTATAGAGAAACAGAATTGTCTCCACTGTCGAAACACTACTTCAAGACTTGCAGACCTTGAGTTTGATTTAAGGATTATGAAATGTTGCCCTTCCAGTTTTGCCCCGCCTCTGACTGCAGCTCTTTTGGTTAGGTTTTATCTTCCTCATGTTTAGACATTATTAAAGTGACATACACATTTTCCCTGGCTAAAAAGCAAAAGGGGATACTGTTCCAGTTTATATTTGAAGTTTTTAATATGTGAATTTCTGATTCCAATGTGTGTACTGGTCATTTAAAAAAAAGAAGGAAACTGTTTACCGATTGAAATCACAGACAAGTTTAGTCGACTTGTATTGTTACAGGTCTACGTGTTGCAGGGAGCTTTGATATTTTGATCATTTGCTGTCCCCACATCTGGACCAATTACCAAAAAGCTTTGCCAACTAGATGAGTTTAGAATACAAACTCTGAGTCTGATAATCGCTAATGATACATAACCAATGCAATGTGTGCTTATTGAAAGTAGGACGAAACACATGTTGTAATACTGTTTGCAGTCTATACAGGTCTAAAACTTCCTTTATCGTTCAGACATCTCCAAACAAACCAGTTGTTAAAGGTAGGGTAGGTAAGTTTGAGAAACTGGCTGGAGATACACTTTTTGTTATATTCCATGGAATGCTCTTAACATCCCGATAGCAATGAATATCTTAAGTGCTTTGACAAAAAATCCATAAAAAAATGTCATCTGTGGAAGCCGTAGTACTGCAAAAAGCACGACCAATTATCTGAGCCGGCCCGGCTAAAATAACTGGATGGCCTACCTGCCTGTCAGCCTTCCATCTGTGCACAAACTTATCTCGTGCCCTCATTGGTCATGTGCGCGTTCGTGTGTGTTGGAGGAGGGGCTCTGTAAGGAAGTCTGAAGGAAGTGGCAGATTTTCTCCGGTTGTGTATTTTCTAATTCTAGCGATCTCGAGCCGGTTTCTCAAACTTACCTACCCTACCTTTAAATGTCAGTGAACTGATGCCAAAGTTAATGCCCCGCCCAGAGGCCTGAGGCTGAGTTTCCACAGAGGACAGTTGTCTGATGGCTGCATCAATCAAAATGCATAGGCTATAGTATATTATTTATTCAGAAAGAGGAGAATCGAAATATTATGTTGCTTTGTAAAACATTGTTAACAATATCAGCTGTAGAGACAGTTGCGTAACAAGGTTGTGATTGGCCCCGGTGCAAATATTGTTTTGGGCCCCACCCCCCCTCATCGCCCCAAACATAAGCGCACGCTGATGCGCTCACACACGCACGGACATACACAACCACTCAGAAGCGCCACATGCATAGGCTATCAACAACAGCCTGCCCTGGCCTCAGACCACCACAGCCTGACAACGGCACAGCGAACTAAGAAGAGGATTAAACCTGTTTCCTTGATGTTTGTCTCTGGGGAATGGGCCGGTAGGCCTACATACATGTAGACCGGTTGCTATAATATAGCTTTTGATCTTGGCGTCGGGGGCCTCAATAGCGCCATAGAGTCCCCTATCGGTTGGGGCCCTTGGGGGAACTGTTGGACCACCGCCGGGCACAGCCAAATCCAGCCTCTCCTCCTGGCTGGCTGGAGAAGAGGGTTGCACAGCCACGGATACAGCTTCACTTGTGCAGCTAGATGGCAATGATGGTGGTGAGGCAGGTGAGCTATTGTTAGCCTCCGGCTCCGGCTGCCGCTGCACGTCAACATTGCTACGTAACGTTAGCGCTCGATTTCGAGGACGATGTAAGACAAAAAAAACGGTCTAATTTTGTCAGTTTAGTTATTACATCTTCTTGTTCTCTCTTTTCCTTTCTCTTTTGAGCGCTGCTCTTGTGCTTTGGTTTGCTGGAAATTATAAATGTAAGCTATTACATTTTTTATAATGCTACCGAACTTGCTGCTGCTAGCTACAGTACAGTTCAGGTTGATTAAACGGTTCGCTCGTCACGCAAGGTATCACATGGCATGAAAGGGAGCAAGGTCATTGGACAGACAAATTACAAATTAATTTAGGTTGCTTGGTTACTTTGAAGACTGCGTGAACCGGTCAATGACATTGGGGCCCCAAAAAATATATATTAAAAAAAAATATTAAAAAAAAATATTAAAAAGAATATCTAAAAAGAATATCTAAAAAAAAGAATTTGAATTATTATTATTATTTATTTATTTTTGCATAGGCCCCTGGCCGGCTCTGGGCCCCGGTGCGTTGCACCAGCTGCACCGTCGATAGTTACGCCACTGTGTAGAGATAGTGTTTAGCAGAGTCTCTGTAGAGAAAACCTGATGAACTCAGTTAGTTTTAGGTTCCTTTTGAGAGAAACCAATGTGTCTTATCCCTCTCAACTACTACCTGTTACTGCAGCAGAGGGATTTTGATTCTCAACTTTCAGAGTTTTCCTGACTTTACATGAGGTGAAGATGTTACTGTACCTATAGATGAGTTTATTTTGTTAAAGCGAATCACTGAGCTCTGTAGTAGGCACTCTATGAGAAGCAGAAGAGTAAGAATACTTTATATCACTTGCTACCCTTAGCCCAAAAAATCTTCCTGGTTAATTAGGATCACTTATGGATGCCTTTAAGCATTTTTAGGGTTGTTAGAAAAATGTAAACTGTTGAAACATCAGGCTTATTATTTGCCTCCAACTAAAATCTCTTGACAAAGACATATGCAGGTAGCATGGTCATTGTTGAACTATTACATTGACCACCATTTGAAAAACCCATTTGTCCTTGGTCAACATGAGAGGTTATCCTGTACATGTTTGTCACAAACTGTGTCTCCTCATATATCAGTGTTTGGTTTACAGTACAGTGACTCCATGCTTATCTCTCCTTTGTGTTGTGCTCCATCCAGTGGACACTCTGTGCCAGAACACCAGGAAGTGGTGGAAGTGTGTTACTGTAGTGTAGTACAACAACAAAAACACAATGAACTCTGATGAGGTCTATATGGTATTATCCTGTTAAACTTGCATTAAATACCACAGTACTATTTTTGCAATACCATTTCTTGACTATTTTTAAATCTGGCTCAAAAGGCCTTATAAAAATGTGAGGAGATGTTTTATGCATCACTTTGAGCAACAAATAAAACAGCAGTTATGGTTGTTTAGAATCTAAAATCAGCTCAAATGTAATCCTGCTTACCTTAACATATACTGAGTTTTGAACCACTGAAATAAAAAATAAAATAAAAGGCTGATTTATAGATTGGTTTTGATCCTTGACATACGGAAACCCATCAAGTTTTCCTTTTGTGTTTTTAAGACTTGTTTCCTGTCATCTGAAATAACACTGAACACATTCCTCACACAAAAAACAAATGTCTTTAAAGCTCGGTTGGATGCTACTCAATCGGAAGCTGTTGGTACCTGTTCATGTGGATAGTTATGTACATTGTAATCCCTGTAATGATGCTGTATGAAGTCCTTTTTGTTGTTCTGTTTATGTTTTAATGTTTCATGTGGAACCTACTTGAGCAGGTCTCCCTTGAAAAAGAGATCAATGATCTCAATGGGATACACCTGGATAAATAACGGTTTGAAATGAAATGAAATGAAAGACCAGTGACCTTGAAATTATTATATTTGTATTTTTAAAAAAGTATAAGAAAAAGAGGGTTTCGTGTATGCATGATGAGTTAAAACTTCAGACCTTGTGTTCAACATGCAGTTTATTTTAATGTGTTTAACTCACAATCACATATTTACAGATGTTTTTGATATACAAGTTAACAGTTATTAACCAAACTGTTTTTATTTATTTTATGTCATATTATTTAGCTTCATTTACCTATACTATTACACATATTGTATTTTGTAGACACTACAGGCATGTAATAGGCTTTTCTCTTAAATGACCCTTTATGACACAATATTAAACATTTATTTTGCTTATTGATTCAAACTTCAGCTTTACAGATGTGGTGTCTTTGGAAACAATGGCTCTTTCTTGAAGTTAAAGTAATTATCTGTGGCTTTATAAAAACTGTAATACATATATTCTCCATATGTGTTAGAGTAAGGTTTGATGAGATAATTGTTGAGTAAATGAATGCTTCCAATAATCTGTTTTATGTAATGGGATACATAAAGAATCTTAAGAATGAAGTAAATCAATCACCACAGTAAACTTATTATGTAGAAAATAAAATGGAAACTATACAGTTCTGACTAAATCAACACATGAAATAAGACGAGTGATTAGGTGACTCAGACAGGAGAGATGATCAGAGGAGCAGCATTTTTACGGCAGTATGTAAGTCCAGGACAGAAGTATGGGTAGAGTTTCTCAGTGAAGGAGCAGCCAGTAAAGGAGTAGATAAGTGCTGCAGCATCTACATCATAAAAGGAGACCAGACCCTCCTCATAATCCACAAACACCCCCACCTTCTGAGGCTGAGACTTCAGAGAGAGATGGGCTGACGGAGCATCTTGAGCTTTGTACTTATTTCCGTTTCTCAAACATATAGTCCAGTAACCATGTTCTGGGCTCAGTGTGATATCTCCCTTCCTCTTGATCGACTCTCTGGCCACTCCTAAATACCATTCAGTCTTTCCTTTAACTTGAACCTCAAAGTAAAATCTGCCTGAAGAGAAACTCTGCTTTCCTAAAACACAATCACAATCAGAAAATCTCTCTCGGTTGTTTGGGAGATTCTTTTCGACATCACTATATTCAATTCTTTTGTTATCATCAGACAGGATGAGACAGGGATGTGCTGTACGCGGATCAAGAGTCACATTTACAGCATATTTCTGGATCCTCTTCAGCTCAGCTTCAAGCAGCTTCTTCATCTCTTTACTGAACGTCTCCTCCACCTGAGCCACAGCCTTTACCACCGTCCCCTCATATACCGCTGGGGTGAAGCTGAATTTTCTCAAGTCCTTGGAGGGTTGTCGGTGTTGAATGTTTAGGGACTTGACACTTTGAAGAAAATGCAGGTGGTCTTCAGAGCGTGTGACCTGCTCCACCTCAGAGCTTCTCTTCTTCAGCTCAGAGATTTCTTGTTCCAGCTCTTTGATTAAAACTTCAGCCTTTTTTTCAGTTGTTTTCTGCTTCTCTTTGATCGTGTTGATGAGATTGGCCTGGCCTCTCTCAACAGACTTCTTCAGAGCAGTGAAGACCTGAACTCCTTCTGCTACCTCTCTGTCTGCTTCTTTCTCACTGAGGTCCACTGAGTGTTTGATCTCCTGAATCTTCAGTTGTCTCTTTTGGATCATCTGCTGAGTTTCAGCCTCTGTCTTCCCCAACTCGGCCTTCTCCCCTTCATATCCTTCTTTCAGAGGAACCACATCATGCATCTTGTGGTCTAAAACAGTGCAGAGCATACAGACACATGTCTGGTCTTTCTTACAGAACAGCTCCAGAGGTTTATCGTGCTTCGGACACATCCTGTCTTCCAGGTTCTCCACAGGGTCGATCAGCTGATGTCTTTTCAGACCTGACATTTTCAGGTGAGGCTCCAGGTGAGTCTCACAGTAGGAGGTCAGACACACCAGGCAGGACTTCAGGGCCTTCAGTTTGGTTTCAGTGCAGACATCACAGGGAACTTCTGCTGGTTTGAAGACTTGTTGCTCTGAGCTGCTGCTGCTGGCTTTCTGTTGAGCCGACTGTCTGAACTGAGCGACCATCTCAGAGATGAAAGTGTTAACGTGCAGCTCAGGTCTTGTGTTGAACTCTTTTTTACACATGGGACACTGGCACCTGTCACTTCTATCCCAGTGTTCAGTGATGCAGTCTTTACAGAAGTTGTGTCCACATGGTATAGTGACTGGATCAGTGAGCAAATCCAGACAGATGGAGCAAAGAAACTGATCTTCAGATAGCAGGTAGCTTGCAGCAGCCATATCTACACACATGTGAACGAAAAGAAAAAACATTTGAAACATCAATCATCAATTCATATTATATATTGTTTTAAAGAAAGAAGTTTGATAACTTGTAACAAGCCATGAGCAACTGTGATCATTTAACTCTGACAGGGTCAAGCATGCAACTCTGGCAAAACAGCATTGAAAATACATGTTTTGTCGATGATTTTTCTATTGAAAAATAACACTGCTCTTCTTACTGTTTGACCATAATTATTCATTTCCTCCAGCTGCTTCACATTAAAAGCCTCCAACTGTTTCTCTAATGGAAATATTTTATTTTGAAACAGCTAGAGGAAATGGGTAAAAGCTTTATGTAGGAAGTGATCAGCAAAATGTAATAATAGCAGGAAAGCAGAAGTGAATCAAAACGCCTCACCACAGAGATTCAGTTACAAGTTACTAAAGTACTTAGAGCTGATACAAAGAGACTGTTTAAGCTGTTTAAAGTGGACTCTATATGTTGTGTTGTTAGAGAAAAACAAGCTGGACATAAAGGGTGGAGTTTTCGTCTGAGTAGAGCTGAAGTTGTGTTAATCCTGCTTGTTGAAAGTGTAAATATAATCTGCTGTACTCACCAGTGTTTGACAGAGACTCTGCTGTGTTGTTGAGAAAGATCTGATGAACTCAGTTTGTATTTTCTTTAGACAGAAACAGAGACTAGTCTCGACTGCAGTGTGGCTGCCTCTCTGACTAACATAACTCTCGTTTCCTGAGTGTGTCGTGTAAGCTCTCCTCTTTCCAGTGTAGCTCCTCCTCTCACTGTCTGCTGGTTTGTTCCCTCCCTCTGATCTGCATGGGTATTGAGAAATACCAGGTTTTCTCTGATAGTTATGGAGCAAAGGTTCTGCTTTACAGGTGGGAGGGATGAGGTGTGTCAAAAGCTGTTTAAACTAAAATCTCTGGACAAAGAAATATGCAGGTAGCATGGTCATAGTTGAACTATTACATTGACCACCATTGGAAAAAACTATTTCTCCTTGGTCAACACGAGAGGTTATCCTGTACATGTTTGTCACAAACTGTGTCTCCTCATATATCAGTGTTTGGTTTACAGTACAGTGACTCCATGCTTATCTCTCCGTTGTGTTGTGCTCCATCCAGTGGACACTAAACCATAACACCAGGAAGTAGTCGTGTGTTACTGTAGTGTAGTACAAAAAGCAAAAACACAATGAACGCAGTGCTGAGGTCTATAAGGTATTGTCCTGTTAAACTTGCATTAAATACCACAGTTCTATTTTTGCAATACCTTTTATTGACTATTTTTAAATCTGGCTCAAAAGGCAATGTGAGGAGATTTTTCATGCATATCTTTGAGCAACAAATAAAACAGCAATTATGGTTGTTTAGATTCTAAAATCAGCTAAAATGTAATCCTGCTGGCCTTAAGATACATACATATACTGAGCTTTGAACCACTGAAATATAAATAAAATAATAATAATAATAATTAATTAATTTTGCCTGATTTATAGATTGGTTTTGATCCTTGGCATACGGAAACCCATCAAGTGTTCCTATTGTGTTTTTAAGACTTGTTTCCTGTCATCTGAGATAACACTGAACACATTACTCACACAAACAACAAAGACCAGTGACCTTGAAATTAGTATATATTTTTATTTATTTAAAATTGTGCTTGTGAAGATTGTTATCTTGGATGAAAGACAAAATATTTAATCTGTTTCACATTGAGTTCTTGATTAGTTCAATGATTATAAAAATGTGCTGGGAGGGAAATCATTTGAAAAGGCATTTTTTCAAAGTACAACAAAAGGAGGGTTTAATGTATGTGTAGGAGCCGCATTTAAGTTTATTTTGTTTTGATTGATTTGGAACCTTTATTAATACATTTTTCTGTTTCAGTGAGAGGTGCGCTTTGCTCAGGTGAAGGGGGCGGGGCTAAATCTTTAAGTTGGAGGTGCAGTGTGTGACGGGAGGGCAGCAGGCAGCAGCAATACCGTCATTGACACACAGACGCAGCCTTATGTTTACCCAAAAGACGGATTATTAGGATCTGTTTAAAACCTCTTAAACCCCACGGACCCGCCGAAGGGGCCGAAATCACAACATCTGCAAGCAAAAGTGTCTGAGGGCTTCTTAAGATTTAATAAACTATGAATGTGTCATATCTATGTAACGGGAAGAAACTCAGCCAACTGATATTTCTATTGTATATATTATACATCAAAAAATTATTGATAATCCATAATTCCATTTTTATGCAAAAATCGGAGAAGAAAGATTAGCTGCTAATGGTAGCCACCAGAGGCTAGCGCAGCTTCCGGTTTTTCTACGTGTCACTATCACTCCTTATTTGGTAACCTGTGTGTGTATGGGGAACTTTCCCTCGATTCCATTGGCTCTGACGGTTAGAAAGAGATGTCAATCATCAAAATCGACCAAGATAGAGATAGGTCAAATCCACCTAAATGACCCCAGAAGTGTTTTTTTTTTGCTAAATCTCTCTAAAAAGGTCAAATGTCACTTGTTTTGCATCAATCTTGATACAGGGTACTGTACTTATTATATGTTGTACTTTGGATTCCTAAAGCTTTTAGTCTTTTACCATCATCCAAGGGTAGTTTTCACTATAAGTAAAACATTATTTTTGGATGGACACTATAATTTACAGTGTTTTACTATGTTCAATCTGAATTTTCTTTAAAATAAAAAACATCTATATTGATTCTGACTTTTCTACATCCAACTCACAGGTTTATCATTACTTTGAGAAAAAAGATTATTAATTTTCCCCTTTTAGAAGTGTAGTTAAGGTAATTTGTTCTGGAAATGTGGGGGGGGGGGGGGGGGTGGTGCTATTGGATCGCCGGAGCTGTAGATTAATATTAACATGCTTATTGTAGTTGTAAGTGCACTGCCTTGCGGTCTGTAGCACCATCCTTGATGGAGCATATGTGTGGGCTGGACCTGTATTTTACAGGAAAGGACTACTACCATGGAAACCAAACAATGGTGTAGCTGTATTACAGTCCTGAGTAAATCTGATTTTGTCAGAAATCGGGAGAAATGCGGGAGAAATATGACCCCGGGAGGAAACCGGGAGAGGGCTATGAAATCGGGAGTCTCCCGCAAAAATCGGGAGGGTTGGCAAGTATGGTTACACGTTAACGTCACAGTCATATCTGAAGAACGAACCCAAACCTTGTTCTTTTTATTAATTGTATTACCAAATTGGTATCAAATAAATAGTAAGCATTGGTAACACCAATGCTGATAAAGTAAACTATTTTATTTGAGTATTTGTGTCTGGGAGAAGGTACTGTACCCAGTTCCTATGTTCGACAGTTATAGGCTGGGCTTTCTTGTACAAGAGAATAAAATAAAAAAATCAATATGGACCATTACTGAATAATTATCCTTACATCATGTTATACAATGCACCTAATATATGGCATTTTGAAACATGATGTGCAACAATTTTTACTGTAATTTCTCTGCATTTTGTTGTTAACTAAGATGATGTTATGATTTATTTTTTGTTAGTATGCACGTGGACGCTTTGGACATACCTGGAGAAGGAAGAAATGGGTCTTCGGAATGATGGGAGTTAAAGACCAAAGGCGGAGACTAGTGTTGAAACTAGTGGAGAAACGATCAAGATGCCACCTTGTCCCTCTGATTAGACGGCATGTTAAGTCAGGAAGTAGCATTATTAGTGATGAGTTGAGGGCATACAGTACAGGAGAGTGCTGAGTAACATGGGGTACAACCACTACACCAGGGGTACTCAAACTTTTTTATTAAAGGTCCACTTGTGAACTTTATACAAGGTCACTGGTCCGGATCAATGCCAGTAAAGTCACCGGAGTTTGAGAAGCCCTGCACTACACCATAAACCACAGCAGGTGGTTTGTGAACCCCCAGACTGGCAGTCATATCCAACATATAGAAAGAGCTTGGTCGACCGTCAAAGGACATGTCCGTAGACTGAGAGGAAACCGTACAGAGAGTTTGTTGGAGGAACACCTCAAGGTTCTTGAATGGTCATCTTGGCTTGGCTCTGCTCACCCTGATGGACTGCTTGGACGCTTGTTCAAGGATATACACAAAGCCTTTCCAGTCTGAGTGCCATTATGTCTTACCAAGTCTTTCATTTATGTCTGAGCAAAGCTTTTATGTTTAAATATGTGTATCAGTCATACTAAATAGTAATTATTTTGAGTCCTGATTTTCTTCATGTGTGAATAATATGTTTTGCTTGGTTCTGTTGCATCTTACTTTGCATTTCATGTGAAAAATGTGTATTAGGTAAGCGTGAATGTTATAACTCATTCATAAATGGACATGTGTATTCAACTTAAAAACAACGCACCCTTTCAGTAGTTATAAATGTTAGTGACTCACCAATAGATGGTGATGTGTTTCACACTTTACAATAAGGCTCCCTTTTACCAATTATAAATGGTAGTAACTCATTCATACATGGTCATAAGAGATGCCAAGAAACATCAAGATGGAAGGGGGGGGGGGGGAATCAACTCAGTGAACAACAGATACCAAGGATGCTGGCTGATGAAGAAGATGAAGTAAGCTAAGTAGCCAATATAAGGCTTAGCAGTACAGATAAATGTGGGCTCACTATTTGGCAAGCAACCGGCCACAGTTGCCCTGTTTATCTCATGTCTTATAAAAGCTTATTAATGATTTATAAAGTGTTCACAACCTAATTAATAAATGAATTACAAACTATTCATAAACCCTTTATAAGGGTAGTCTTATTGTAAAGTGGTACCACTTTTTTAAATGACTGCTGCCTTAAAACTTTGTCTGGTACGAATACAGTTCTTGTATATGTCGAGATACTTAAAAACAAATAAAGCACAGCTATGTAAGATGCATTTGAAAGAAGAAATTGAATTTCCTCGGTCACATCAACAGAACTAAATTATTCACATTTCTATAAAACAAAGTAAAAAAACACAGAAAGATCTGACAGGAAAAGTAAAGTTGTTTTGATGCTGAGCTCTAACCAACATGTCGGTATCTTGGCCTTGTCATCTTGATCGAGGCAAAAAAGAAACAGGATCTATCAAAATTGTGAGGTAAATTAAATGAACTTTTAATATTTACACAATTTTTTATTATTGCACTTCATTTATTTAATGTTGAGAAAAATCTGGTACAAGTGTTCATACACTGTTTATCACTGTATTTCATGAAAATTCAGCAACGAAACTGAACGAAAACTTCACACATATACCTGATTAAAAAGATTATTGTTCTTGTGCAGCTTTCGTATTAAGGAACAATTAATTTAACTTTTATAGTACTGACTTTTCACATGATGAATAGCAGATGAAAAGCAGCAAAAATAATTACTGATACACTGTTATATCTGAAAATTGTATTTCCCTTTCACATGGTGAAAAGCAGATGACCACTAAAGGTGCTATAATGACTGTAACTGTCATATATCCTTGAGTTTTCACACAAACGCAAAAACACAACATCTCCGACCTCTAGAAACAGCGTTGCACCATTTGCAGATGACCCAAAAAGAGACGTCTGATATTGATGTGCACGACAAACTCTCTCTCCGTTCTTGAACAACACAGCACATGAAGGATGTGAAGGATGTCCGTCAGCACCAATGTAGAGCTCCTCTCACTGGTGCAATGAAAGCACCTGGGACATTTTTTGTCAGTCATTTTATTGTTTTATACTGAATTCAAGTTTTTTAATTTGCACATAATTGGGAATGAGCCTGTTCAAAACTTAATTAAATCATTTAGATCAGAGGTCAGTGAAAATAGGTCAATGTCAACAAAATAATTGTCATCTACTTGTTCAAACATTAATGACAGTGAGATAAAGTGACGTCAATGAGGCTGTTCATCAGGTGATATGATAAAAGATTTACCAGAAACCAAAGTTAGATTGGTTAATAATTAAGACATTTTCTCTCTTTGCTTCCTCAATAAATCCAGTACAGTGACAAAGTCTGACTTTTAAAGAACAATCAATGTTATAAAACATCTACAGGCAGGAAGTAGCAGTCTTATGTGTGCTTTATCTGATCTTCACAACAACCTCAATTTTCCTAACTGACAGTAAACAGTCATGAAGTTTGACTTCATGACTGTTTGTTTTTGTCTGTTTGACTTTGTCATGTTTTGAACATGACAAAGTGTAAAGCTTTTCAGCTGAAAAAAGAGTGACTGTGTTCATAGAGCCTGAGACTTTTGCATTTAAAAGTATTGCTTGTTCGTACAGTTGTATGTTTGAGCTTCACTGTGCTGAATGATTTATGTGCAGAGTTTGACCCCTGAAGGCTGTTACTTCTGCTCTGAAATTGAATATATTTGTTACATATTAATAGATTTTTAGATTTTATGATTTGATTTCGGATTTTACCAAACACTAATTATTCAAAGTAGAGTATTTCATTTGATATACGGTAATACTAAGGAGGCAGAGGCCTATATGATGATATACTGTTTGACATTATTGATATTAAAAACGTGATTTGTTTTCCATGTCATGCGTGCGTTTTTCTTATCAGAAAGTGAAGTTCTTTATTTGTAAGCTCCAAAACCTAATTTTTCCCTCAATGGCCTTTGTGCCCTGAAAAAAGTGTGTGACACCAAAGGCCAAATGGCCTTGCCCCTAAAATGACGAAATTCCAAGCCTGGACATAAGACAATACAATACAATACAATACAAAGGGGCTTTATTGGCATGACCACATATTACACATAGCATTGCCAAAGCATTCTGCACAAGGCGTTATAACAGAACAAAAACTAAAATAAACACTTAACATACATGTCAACAATACACGTGGCAATTAATGGAATTGGTGGATATGTTCTTTGCAACATCAGATTATTGCTGTTGTTTTAAAATAAAAAGGTGAACAAGCATATAACAATAGTTGTTCGGACTGAAAGTTGTTACATCTGTTAATACATGTATTCTTACACATGCAACGTTAAGAAGAAGGCTACATAAGGTTCCCTGGAAAATGTAACTAATGTTGTGATCTCTACATTTAGCAAACAGCGCTGTGCAATAGCTGCCCACTGCTCCTAGTACTAGGATCGGTTAAATGCAGAGGTCAAATGTCACTGTGTGCATGTATGTGTGACAATTAAAGAGGGATTCATCCAACATCTGAAACAACAGCAATTTCAAATGTAGATGTGAACAGGCAGAAAGAAATATTACAGGAGGAGTTAACAAGTAGAGATCATAATACTAACATTATCTCCTTCAAAGTAGCAATATATAACATTTCAATTTGAACTTATCTTCATAAAGTAACGATTGTTGATTTAAATCTGTATATGCCTTAGAATCATGACGCCATTGGTGTTTAGATTGGTTCCCTGAACGCCTCGCTTTACAATGCAGTTCTGTCTGTTACCTTGTCGCAGACAGAAAATATATTATCAACATTTTGGTTTCACATTTTGTTTGGAAGAAACGCAGTGTACCTTTTTATTAGCAGCTCTCATAGCATCTGCGACCAAGTCATACAAACATATGATTTACCCCACTACTGTCACTTCCATTGCCTACATTTGAAGGAGGCCATATAGGACAATAGATATGAATAACTTTGACAATCTACAGCCTTCGTTACTACTAAAACTATGTTCACCACAACCCAAAAATATACAAGTACAAATGTACAAACTATTTTCTCAACACGACAACACTGTTTCCATACCAACACACAAATGGGCATCAGATCCAAATCAGACAGACATTAACTGCCACACCATCTGTAATAAAACATTTTGCATGTCCCATAACTGAAATACAACTCATTAAATACAAGTGACCCGGTTTCGGTCAGAGGTCATGAGAAAGTTATCAGAGGTCCTCAAAATCGGCATCCCCCTCACCCCCCCCCATAGCTCTCTTATAGGAGATCTATCCTCCATCGCTCTACCACAAGATCTCCAAACTTTCATTATCATAACAATAACTCACGCAAATAAGACATATTTTACTCAACTGGAGAGACAGAACAAAATGATCTATTAACCATTCGCTCGATCGTTTAACGGATCATGCAGACCTGGAAAAACTCTCTTCAACACAAAATGACAATATAACCCCCGTCAATAAAACCTGAGGCCTGTACTACGAAGCTGGTTCAACTTAACCTGGATATGTTGGAGTTAGCCGGTTGGCCTAAGCCAAAACATACGCGCTGGCGCTAAACTGTACTACGACGCCGGTTATCAAGTGGATCGCTCAAGCCAGCCGTGTCCTATCTAGTTAGGTGCGCGTTCACATGAAAGGGGTGGTATTTGGAGCATTCGACCAATCTCAAACACGGACAAGCGTACTGACAGCGCAGCGTCATACTTCCTGAATGAAAAGTGAACTTTAATATTAGTCAAATATGAAGAAGTTAAACTTTAAACATCCATGACTTAAACACTTTATCCAGGATAAAAGCCACATAGCTGCACCTGCAAGGTGAATACAGATGGTAAAAGAAAAAGTGTTTGAATGCGTACATTAACAGGTTTATGAAATCACTGCCCCGTCCAAGACACGAGTGGATCTGACTTTAATTAGGAGAATTTGACTCGAGTGTTTCGTCAATTTAATGTGTTGCTTAAAATAATACTTCTGCATACAGTATGTGACACTGTGAGTGTTGCACGGCCAGATACGGCTCAAGAAGCTGACTCAAATAAGGAAATATATGATACATTATGATGTGATATGATATGAATGATAATGGGACACATCTACGTCTGCACTCACAGTGCCGCGGACTGTACTTAATGTTACTCTGATCCGGTTACTTATGTCGTGGCAGATATTTAAGTAAGCTTTCTTAACGCTAATATTATAATAGTCAGATTGCTCTGAAGATGGGAGGGGATATTCTATTAATTTTCACGTTCACACAGTCAGTTGATTTTGGCCGGCTGTCTTTCCTGCAACGGCAGTTTTTCTGTATTTCCTCTATCCTGTAATATGAATTGATAGCTTTAAACTCCGCACACGGAGCTCTGATTGGTCAGCAGGCGGTGCTTTCACTGAGTTGATCTCTTAGCCTGCCACCTAACCTGCTCCGGAGCAGGTTTGCCGCTCAGCATAAGTTACCATGGAAATCTAGCCTGCTAAAAAGAGAACCAGCGTCGTAGGACCGGAAAGCCCGAGATTTCCCTGAATTTAGCCGGCTAAGCGAAAATCCAGCTTCGTAGTACAGGCCTCTGGTCTCCTTTCATGCACTACATTCAGAGCAGATTCCTCTTCACACACCTTTGGCCAGACACTTCACAAAAATGGATCACCTCACAGTAATACATTAGCACAATACTCTCTCTTCTGCATGTCCCTTCCTTTCCCTTTCTCCTTGTTGTCTCGATATTTTCGTTTCTTTTTATATGTTTATGTCTTTATTGTATTTATCAATTGATTTTGTTGTTTGTAAATATTCTTTTTGTTTTGTAAATATGTTTGTATGCAATGTGAGAAATTATGATGGAAAGTCTTTTTTTTAAAAGAGGAAGGAACGCATTGTGTGCTGTATTGTTTTTGTATTATTACTGTGTTTATTAAATAACTCTGTAAGAATTTCATTATTTTATATATATATATATATGAACATTGGGGTTTCTATTTTTCCATAAAAACAATAATATTTATTTCGAAATACATCAGACACTTCTATTTCATTATTGGTTTATTATTGGTTTTCGAACAATAACATGTTCTTTTATTTTCAAACCATCATTGTGAAGAAAGGTCCTGAGGGAGTATTGCAGTGATTTGTTTGTGCTTTTATTCAAATATATGATAACATGAAAACAATATATTTAACTTGTTTAGATGACTGCTGCCTTGAAACTTCGTCGTTCAGGTTTCATGTACAGGACAATCAAAGAGACTTTAATTTGGTACTGATACAGTTCTTGTGTTTGTCGAGATGCTTAAAAACAAATAAAGCACAGCTATGTAAGATGCATTTGAAGCAACAAACGGAATTCCCCCTGTCACATTAACAGAACGAAATTATTCACATTTCTATAAGCTCTAACCAACATGTAGGTCGTTTCTCCTTGTCATTTTTGATTGAGGCAAAAAAAACAGGATTTATCTTTAGTATTTCAAAAAATTGTGATAAATGAAGTGAATTCTGAAAATAAACACAATATTCTCATGAATTATTGCACTTCCTTTATTTTATGTTGAAAATCACATATTTTTGATCAAAAGCGTATTGTATTGTTATCAGCTTTCATATTAAGGAAAAACTAATTACACTTTTTTCAACAAGAACTGACACACAAGAAAAACGGTTTCCTTTTCACATGGTGAAAAGCAGATGACCACTAAAGGTGCTATGATGATTTCCATTGTCAAATATCTTGGAGTTTTGAAGCAAACGCAAAAACACAACATCTCCGACCTCTAGAAGCAACGTGGCACCATTCGAAGATTTTGCAAAACCTGACGGCTGATGTTCATATGCAATACAAACTTTCTCTCCATTCTTGAACAACACAGCTCCTGAAGGATGTGAAGGATCACCGGGACCATATACGTAGAACTCAAAGTGGTAGGCTCCTCTCACCGGTGCAATGAAAAAACCTGTGGGACATTTTTTGTCAGTGAAGGTAACCTCAGATTTGTTTGTTGATCATGTATTGAATTCAGCATACCCGAAAACCTAAAACTAATTTTAAATGCTTGAATTTGAGTACCTGTGTTTGGGTTGTAGGCATTCCCAATATTTGCGATTAAGTATCTGAATACCAGATTAGTTTGCGTGTGAAATGGTCCAATAGTTCCTGAGCCTGAAGCCAACAGAGAGGCTGAGAAAGCCACCTGTTTGACTGAGAGAGAGAGAGAGAGAGAGAGAGAGAGAGAGAGAGATTTTATTATCCTACTGTGATATCATGTTTTTAAAATACGTACATATATTACAAATTCAACCCATTATTTAGATATTTTACCTTCTCCGTCTCTCTTCAGATTCTCCACCTGGTTTTCTGTGACATTTGCCCAAGCAGCTCTGCTGCTTGTACTGTGAAAAAAGTGGCATCATTATATTTGTGTCTGACAGAAATAGTGTTTGATAGTTACAAGTTTTTCATCACGACTCGCATTATCAAGGTTAGCATTGACCAAGGAACATTTAGATATTACGTGAGATAAAACATTTATAACGATTGTCCTTACCAGTACATAATAATAAATAAAGTATATATACCATGATACATTTTTTATTGGAGCTTACGATACACTATTATAAATTAACCTGAACCACAATAATTTCAACACATTACCTTGAAGCTCTTGCTTTAGCCTCTCCACCTCAGTCTTCTGTAACTCCAGTTCTCTCAGCTTAGCGGTTTGAGCTTTATTTAGAAAAGTAAATACATGAATGTTAATTTTTTATTCATTTAACCATCAATTTCCTTCGATATCACTTCAATTCAATTGCAAAATAGGAAATACTCCTCAATTCGACAAAAATCAAAAAAAAAGCTACAGTCAATTGTTGAGTGACTATTTTAGCCATGTTAGCAGCATGATGGAAAAGTTGGTTATTCAGTTCACATTCGTGATCCCAAGAAAATTAATTCGAATGACTTTATTAAAACCAAAAGGACGTTTAGATGCTAGGGGTTGTCAGTGTTTTTAAAAGAAAATTATAAATCATGTTAACAATTACTTGATTGTCCTGAAATGTGGTAAAGACCTCTCGATCCACAGCAGGTCAACATTGTAGTTTGTCCAATGGTTTGGCTTATGTCCACAACTACAGATGCTACTATCAGCCTCAACTGTAGGTTTAAGTGGTGTGGATTAGCATATGTTAGCAGCATGCTTACATGCTACATTAGTGATGTTTGTGTAGATTTGTTTGTTTCTCTCCCTCCTTCATGAAATGAACTCTGTAGATTGAACAGAAGAGGAGTGAACACAGCTATCAATGACTGCAAGTAATACTGCAAAATAGTACAGTGACACAACTATATGTAAAGACCTCCTATAACAACGCAACGGTTTCCATAATACTTCCCTCCCCACCTTACACACTACAGTACCTTCATTCTCTCTCTGAAGGTGCCTCATCTCCACCCTCTGTTCAGCCAAAGAGGCGCTCATCTCTCTCAGCACAGCGTGGATGTCTTGAGGACAGGTCTGTTGGTGCTCAGACACATTTGGTGGTTCTCCTCCCTGGGACTCTGCATGATGTGGAACAATTTCATTGTCAGACTGAAGCTGAGCCGTAGAGAGAGAGCAGATCAGCAGCAACAGAGGAAAACACATGGTCATCTCCATTCTCAAAGTGGCAGTCTGTTCAGATCTACTTTAGAGTTTCTGTGGTAATCCCAGCTTTATATAGTGTCTTCTGCTGATCAATCATTACTGAAAATATTGACCATAAACATGTGGAAAAAAACTAATGTTGATAACACTTAGTACTTTGAGCATGTTATCAGGAAAACAACATTAAAAACACAGCACACAAACTGTACATTATCTAGAAGTACCTGTATGATGGAGTGTGGATACCAAATCTTTTGATAACTAGTTTACCAATATACAAACAGTAGGTTGAGGGTTTCTACACCTTCCTAAAATCTAATTCAAGGACTTTAAAGGCCATATTCCCTCAAATTCAGGACCCAACAAGGTATAGTTTGAGACACTGATCAGAGTAGATTACTGTTGTGAGAACGAGCAGGCTTTACAGAAGCTCAGAGACAAAGAAAGAGAAAGAGTTACAGTGATGGCAGACTGTCTCTTGCTTTCTCTAACACAGCAAAACAATATGGGCGACAGAGACATAGACTTATTTACAAGTTGAAGAACAAATGACATAACTGAAATGTTTAACAATGTACAATATATAAAAACTCAAACACATTTAATTGCCAATGTGCATTTTCATTAACTCTAAAGGGCTTGATTTGTACCCCTACAAATTGCTATTATAATATCTACAATAAACGGTGTGCATTAGTTTGAAGGAAATCTAATGGCGTTATTTCAGTATTTTTTATAAAACAATTAAAAAAATATAATGTGGATTATCAAATATTAAAATAATTCTTAATTAAAATGTCAGTGAAAATAGGTAAATGTCAACAACATAATTATCATCCACTTGTTCAAACATTAATGACAGTGAGATAAAGTGACCTCAATGAGGCTGTTCATTGGGTGATATGATAAAAGACTTACCAGAAACCAAATGAAGATGACAATAAAATATATTTTCTCCCTTTGCTTCCTCAATAAATGCAGTATAGTTACAAAGTCTGACTTTTAAAGAACAGCGCAATGTAATAAAACATCCACAGGCAGGAAGTAGCAGTCTTATGTGCACTTTATCTGATCTTCACAACAACCTCAATTTTCCTAAATGATATTAACCACTCTCTCCCAAAACAAAAGACAAGTGCTGAGTCATGAAGTCAAAATATGACAAAGTGTAAAGCTTTTCAGCTGAAAAAAGAGTGACTGTGTTCATAGAGCCTGAGATCTCACCAACATCTGAAACAACAGCAATTTCAAATGTAGATGTGAACAGGCAGAAATAAATATTACAGGAGGAGTTAACAAGTAGAGATCATAATACTAACATTATCTCCTTCAAAGTAGCAATATACAACATTTCAATTTGAACTTATCTTCATAAAGTATCGATTGTTGATTGAAATCTGTATATGCCTTAGAATAATGACGCCATTGGTGTTTAGATTGGTTCCCTGAACGCCTCGCTTTACAATGCAGTTCTGTCTGTTACCTTGTCGCAGACAGAAAATATCTTATCAACATTTTGGTTTCACATTTTGTTTGGAAGAAACGCAGTGTACCTTTTTATTAGCAGCTCTCATAGCATCTGCGACCAAGTCATACAAACATATGATTTACCCCACTACTGTCACTTCCATTGCCTACATTTGAAGGAGGCCATATAGGACAATAGATATGAATAACTTTGACAATCTACAACCTTCGTTACTACTAAAACTATATTCACCACAACCCAAAAATATACAAGTACAAATGTACAAACTATTTTCTCAACACGACAACACTGTTTCCATACCAACACACAAATGGGCATCAGATCCAAATCAGACAGACATTAACTGCCACACCATCTGTAATAAAACATTTTGCATGTCCCATAACTGAAATACAACTCATTCAATACAAGTGACCCGGTTTCGGTCAGAGGTCATGAGAAAGTTATCAGAGGTCCTCAAAATCGGCATCCCCCTCACCCCCTCCATAGCTCTCTTATAGGAGATCTATCCTCCATCGCTCTACCACAAGATCTCCAAACTTTCATTATCATATCAATAACTCACGGAAATAAGACATATTTTACTCAACTGGAGAGACAGAACAAAATGATCTATTAACCATTTGCTCGATCGTTTAACGGATCATGCAGACCTGGAAAAACTCTCTTCAACACAAAATGACAATATAACCCCCGTCAATAAAACCTGAGGCCTGTACTACGAAGCTGGATTTTCGCTTAGCCGGCTAAATTCAGGGAAATCTCGGGCTTTCCGGTCCTACGACGCTGGTTCTCTTTTTAGCAAGCTAGATTTCCATGGTAACTTATGCTGAGCGGCAAACCTGCTCCGGAGCAGGTTAGGTGGCAGGCTAAGAGATCAACTCAGTGAAAGCACCGCCTGCTGACCAATCAGAGCTTCGTGTGTGCGGAGTTTAAAGCGATCAAGTCATATTACAGGATAGAGGAAATACAGAAAAACTGCCGTTGCAGGAAAGACAGCCGGCAAAAATCAACTGACTGTGTGAACGTGAAAATTAATAGAATATCCCCTCCCATCTTCAAAGCAATCTGACTATTATAATATTAGCGTTAAGAAAGCTTACTTAAATATCTGCCACGACATAAGTAACCGGATCAGAGTAACATTAAGTACAGTCCGCGGCACTGTGAGTGCAGACGTCGATGTGTGCCATTATCATTCATATCATATCACATCATAATGTATCATATATTTCCTTATTTGAGTCAGCTTCTTGAGCCGTATCTGGCCGTGCAACACTCACAGTGTCACATACTGTATGCAGAAGTATTATTTTAAGCAACACATTAAGTTGACGAAACACTCGAGTCAAATTCTCCTAATTAAAGTCAGATCGTGTCTTGGACGGGGCAGTGATTTCATAAACCTGTTAATGTACGCATTCAAACACTTTTTCTTTTACCAGCTGTATTCACCTTGCAGGTGCAGCTATGTGGCTTTTATCCTGGATAAAGTGTTTAAGTCATGGATGTTTAAAGTTTAACTTCTTCATATTTGACTAATATTAAAGTTCACTTTTCATTCAGGAAGTATGACGCTGCGCTGTCAGTACGCTTATCCATGTTTGTGATTGGTCGAATGCTCCAAATACCACCCCTTTCATGTGAACGCGCACCTAACTAGATAGGACACGGCTGGCTTGAGCGATCCACTTGATAACCGGCGTCGTAGTACAGCTTAGCGCCAGCGCGTATGTTTTGGCTTAGGCCAACCGGCTAACTCCAACATATCCAGGTTAAGTTGAACCAGCTTCGTAGTACAGGCCTCAGGTCTCCTTTCATGCACTACATTCAGAGCAGATTCCTCTTCACACACACCTTTGGCCAGACACTTCACAACAACGGATCACCTCACAGTAATACATTAGCACAATACTCTCTCTTCTGCATGTCCCTTCCTTTCCCTTTCTCCTTGTTGTCTTGATATTTTCGTTTCTTTTTATATGTTTATGTCTTATTGTATTTATCAATTGATTTTGTTGTTTGTAAATATTCTTTTTGTTTTGTAAATATGTTTGTATGCAATGT